CCTGGGGGGGAGGAGGCAGGGCTGGGGATTTGGGGAAGGGGCGGAGTTGAGGCGGGGCCGGGGGTGGGGTAATTAAAGAACGGGGGGGTCGGCCAAAATTGTTTTTGCTTTGGGCGGCAAAAATCCTATTGCCGGCCCTGTGTCCATCACAGCAGGAGCAGCACTCAGAGGCCTCCAGAATCTCTCTTTGTAGGTACTTGTGTGGCCCCCTCACCTTAGTATTTGAGCACCTGCTGTGTTTTTTAAAAATAGAAATAACCGATGGGGAAAAATCAGACGGAGAGGTGAAGCATCTTGCCCAAAGCCACAGAGGGAGTCAGTGTCCAAGTTAGACCATATTGATCTCTCATATTAGAGCAATTTGGAAGCAAACTACAGTACCAGAAAAAAAGTTTGCTTTTCTTCCCTAATCCACTCCTGCAGGAAATCTTCTAAAGACACCTGGGGACCTTTACCCTGGGGACCACTGTGGAAGGTTGCCACTTCAGTAATCTTTTACTCCACCTCACCTGAACCAATGCATGGCCATCTCCTCATTCTTTTCCACACCAGTTCCTGGATGTGAGACAAAGACATGGCAAAGAAATGAAGAGAATTTCAGTTAAAATGTACAATATGGGGGCCAAAATTACCCACAAGGTAACGTATTGTGTAACATGTTCACAAGTTCTCTATTTGCACACACATATATTCTGAAGCCGAGTTACCCTCTGACTTGGAGAAATGTTACCTTGCAGATATCTCTGCCCCACAATGTGTTGGGCATTGGGGTACCCCAGGTGAGCATACATATGAGCCACGTGGAAATGGAAGTTCTCATAGCACAGCAAGATGTAAAGCAGAAGGAGGACGGGGACAATCATAGCCAGCAACTGTAAAGGATAAGGAAAGAGTCATGATAGAGGGAGACATTAAAACGGGACCAAATACAGCTAATATTTCATCGAAAGCACTGAAAGCATCTTAGTGTGCTGCTTTCCAAATAGCAAAGCTAGGGAAACTTCTCGCAATAGCCAAAAATGTAATTTAGCCTTGTGCGATGGATACAGAACCTGATCCAACATCCATTAGAGCCTATAGAATGACTCCATAGACTACAAGAGATATTGGACCAGGCCCCTACCTTGTCTATACAGTGTGGCAATGTGCACTAGAGGGGTATGATTTCTAAAGTGCACCAAAGCATTGCCCACTAAGTGACCCAGGTAGACGCTGATGGTGGGCACTAGAAGTGCCCTAGTGAATGTTAACATAGTGCTTTGTGCACTAAAGAATGTTTAGCGCATGCCAGTTACTGGACAACATACAGGTGCACTTTAGAAATCACACCTCTCTAGTGCGCTTTGCCATGATGTATAGATAGCATTGCCAACCCTCCAGAATTGGCCTGGAGTCTCCAGGAATCTGCATAGATCTCCGGGTGACTATTGAAAACAATCTGGGAGATTTTAATCGGATATTTTAAGAAAATGACATTACATCATGTTGGGGGCAGGGGGGGGGAGGCAGGGCAAGGAATCTCCCAGAATAGCTTCAGTCAGAGTTGGCAACCCTATGTATAGACAAGGAACTTTTGGCTCTGCTGTAGCAAATTAAAATAATTCCATTTTGTCTAATGGTTCTTTTGTGAGATGAATTCATTAGCTGGCAGCAGATCGGGATGAGCAATTTGTTAAGAAGGTTTGTGAGACTGAGTATTTCTCTCCAGGTAGATGGGTTCACATCCATGTCATCTGCTTCACAGGTAACTGTAGTTACTCTGTATGGGTCTGACAGCTCTCTTTATAAACTTTGTGATGAAAGGATTTATAGTTTCACATACAACAGTGGGCAAACTTTCGAAACTCTTTAATTTGGCAGTGGAGTAAAAATGGGTCGAGTCTCTTTTCAGCTACACTGCTGTAAATCAGGAGTAACTTCGCTTATACTAGTGGAGTTACACCAGTATAAAACATATATAAAATCAGAATCAGGCCTGTTATTTTTCAGTGCCAAATAAAAAGCTTCAAAAACAGGCTCACCAGTAGTTTGTGATAATAGGGATTTACAGATTGAAAACTCAAGTTTACACTGATAGTGCAAGAACCATGGCCAAAAAAAAAAAGAGGAATGGGGTTTGTAAGCAGACTGTGGCCCCAAAGAGGTATGGGGCACAGTACATATCCACTGAGAGGCATTTGCCCTACACAGTCACCACTTAGACTTGATGAAGCAGCCCGGGCTGTAAATTTAATTAACAGTGTCAGCTCTGTTGATGTTAGCATGCTTTCAATGGTATGTGATGACATAGGTGCTAATCACTGTCATGAATTGTACCATGCAGAAGACCTCTTTCTTTTAGAAGAGTGATAGCTGCAAATATTTAACAAATTGCTAAATATGTTTGCACTAGATTGATACAAACGATGTTTGTAGCTGAGCCGTAGTTGACACTCTGACCGGGCTCTCTATGGGGGCCAGCTGTGGTCACTCAATTAGGGTGAACTGCAAAGAATGGGGCAGACAAACCCCAAAGCTGGTAGATAATTCAATACATAGATTTACCAAACCAGAATAAAATAGCTTCTTAATTACCTCACTGGTTTTTCAGAAGTAAATAACACTGGTCCCTTAAAGTACCCAGCCTCAGACCTCCATCCAGGTACCCAAGTCAAATATGATGAAGATTTCTGAAAATCTTATTTCATCATATAAAAGAAAGGGTTCTACCAATTCCAAAGGATCAGACACAGTACCTCTCAGGTTAATGAATATTCCACGCTACAGCCAATTCTTATTAACTAAACTAAAATGTATTAAAAAAGAAAAGAGAGAGAGTATGATTAAAAGATCAATATACATACAGACATGAGATCAATTCTTGAGGTTCAGATACATAGCAGAGATGGTGAGCTTTGTAGTTGCAAAGAGTTTTTAGAATTTAGTTAATAGGTTATAGTCCAATGTCCAATATCGTATTCAGTGCATACCAGCATAACTGGAATCTCATCTTGCGACTCAAACTTCCCCTGGTGAAGCTTAAGCAGATCTAAGATGAACAGGATCAGGACCCAAGGATCTTTTATACAATTTCATGTCTTCTTTGACAAGCTGGAGTCCCTTGGGGAACTAAAGGGAATTAGGTTGACTTTGAAGGAGGTCCATCATTTGGTACTTAGCTATACGAATTAACATAAGGCAATTGGCTTGTTCCTCCACCATTCACAGATGATTTTCTATACATTTCAAAGAGAAATGAATACAGAGATACCCTGTGTTTACAATTCATCTAAATGTTATGATGTTCTCTGGATCTCTGAATTATCAGAATACAGCATAGATAGGGACTGTTGATTAAATTGTTGACCATTACCCATATGCATGTAAATACGCAAAAACACAAACAACAACTCCTCACGTCTTAGAGGGTTGAATCTGAATCATTCATCCTGCAGGATGTTTAACCATTTCTGGCCATGCATCACAGACACCTTGTACATAACTTTGTTCTTTTATATGAATATTTTCAAAAGAAGAATATTTCAATTTCTGCAATATTGATACTTTTGACTACCAATAGAATTAGCGATGAATTGAAGATAAAGTCATATAAGATCAGTGCTTCACTGTAATTAACGCTTAGCTCTCTACATGGCATTTTTCATCCACAAGACAAAGCACTTTGCAAAGAGGGTAATCATTATCCCATTTTACACATGGGGCAACAGAGCCCTTGAGAGATGAAGTAACTTGGCCAAAGTCATGCAGCACAGCCAGGAATAGAATTTAGATATCCTGTCTCTTAGTCTAGGGGCCTATCCACAGGATTCCTAAAATAATTATTTTTTTTCTTGTTTGTATTTTACAAATGATATGTTACTAAGTATTTGCTATAAAATACATTGGTGTTTGTAATGTATTATTCTCAAAGGATTGTGGGATGTCGATGCAAGGGATTATTGGATTGGGATCTCAGCTAGTCATTGCATCCAGTTTTGGAGACACTGGTAGGGAAGATTGACAGCCCCTTCTTTAACTTACAGAAGAAACCTCTTAACTAGTACTTAGAATTGTGTTTCGATCCAACAGTGAAAGGAAAATTTAAAAGATAGAGATTGGATAGAAAGAGAATGGCAGAAGCAACCAGGATCATCTGTGCCATATTCACTAGGCAAGAGACCAGGTTGCAGTGGCACTTTACAGCATTGCAAAGATTAGGTCTAAATCCAAACCTCCTCAAAATTCAAGAGCACTTGGACTCATTGTTCAGATTTAGCCCATTGTAGACACAGATCTATCCTGTGACATTCAGATCATGATCTGCATCTTAACTGTCCTGAAAGATTCATGGTGAGGAAGCTTTGGACCCAGAGTACTTGGGTTAAATCCTAGATGCTGAGCAGCCATAGTTCTTATTAAAGCCAGCTGATGCTCAGTATCAGCATCTCCCAAAATGTGGCTCCTGATTCAGGTCCATCTCTAACTGAATCATATCAAAGCTGAGAATTAAATTAGCCACAGGCGAGTGATAATGGAGCAAACATCTCCCGGTATTCAGATATCTGGCTGACAAATTTAGGAACATAGGATTTGCTGCCCTGGATTAGACCACCAGTCCAACTAGTGTGGTATCCTCTTCAGGCAGTGACCAATGCTTCAGAGAAAAGTTCTCCAAGAACCTTGTAACATACCTGGACATTCCAGCTGTGATTGCAGTGGCACAAATAATGCATGAGTAAGTCTGTGGTGATACCAAGGCAATTTTTTTAAGATGACATCCTAGATTGATCCTGTTTATTGCTGAACATCTTCCCAAGGGGAAGAGATGATGGACCACTCCTTGGGAAAGATCATGAAGAATAAAATCATTCTGCAGATTGCAGGCCTGAGGGCAAGTAATCATTGTTTCTAAAATCAAGTCTTCTTTGATGATTTTAGGTCTGTGCTCCAGAAAAGTCACTGAAAGAAGGTGGCAATAATTAATGTTTTACTCTTACAGACTTTTCTTGCATGCATTACATAATAAAGAATGCATCTTGAGACTTGTAGGAGGAAACAGTCACTTGAAAACCTCCTCCTTCAAACTCTGGAGGAACACAGCAACTTACACACGAATAATCACCATAGCAAATGCTCAGATAAGGCCAGCAATTGATGGTAAAGCAAGCTTGTAAGCTTACTTGCATAAGACACTTGGGAGGGGACTCAAGAAGAAAGTCTGAAGGAATGTCCCACAAGTGACTTCAGTTGAGTGGTCCTGCAAAACTCCAAATCCAGATGTGTGCAACTCATCTGACAGCATAAGAGTGAGATATTGGGAGACATCGCCAAGTTTTTCACCAGTTTCCAATGACGCTGCTTATTTGTACGCCACAGGCATGGATAGATAGATTTCTCTATGTTGAAGTAGATGGGTAGCTGTTTTTTTGTTCTTTTCCAGATGGGAAATGACAGGCTAGCTCAGACCTTTTCATCAGCCTTTTGTGTGGGTCACCAATGAGCCAGCTTATCAGCAGGTTTGCAGGTGGCTCCTGCTAATTCATATAAAGCAAACAGGAAGACAACTCTATATTTTACAGAGAATTCGAACATCTAGCAGGTTGCCTCACCTTAGAAAGGGCCAATTCAATCTTTTAAACAAAGCCATGATAGTTCATTGTGCTGCACACAGTTGTTAAAGATAACCTCTAACAGGGGAGATTCATGTCCCAAGAAGCAGTTGGCACTGAGGAGGAGCAGTTATAAAATGGAACCTTGCTTTTAACAGTAACAAGGGAGTGGGATGAGATCCCCTGATCTCCCCTCAGACTCCGCTGATAATACCCACAACTCGCACAAACCCTTGGCCCTGGTGAAGCATGTATTTGTGAAGCATATTCCAATGTTGTGCATTCAGATTTTGGGACTCAGATAACACTAAGATGAAAGAGGTGAAGAAAATAAAAACTCATTTAATGCCAGTTGCCATTGATACTAAGAACTTCCCATGGGAGAATGCAAGGGAATACAATTAAATTGGTCCCAGAGTCAAGAAATGTGCAAGGCCTATTTGTACACTCCTAAATACAAGGGGGACAAGGATCAGTGGCTCCAAAATACTTCCTAGTTTTTCTGCTGAACAATCTGTTGCTCATTTCCCTGTATTTTTTCTCTGGTATTTTTATTTTATTTACATTTATTTCCAGATGTGTCTAGGTACCAGATTCTGCTCTTCTTTACACCACTCTAAATTCACAGTAACTCCATTGAGAGTTTACTCCTGATTCAGATCCATGCAGCCTGTGACAAGAAACTGGCTACAGGTGTGTCACATGCAACTAAACAATCTTTTTTTACCAAAACATAACTATTAAATTAAGATGAAACTCAGAACCAACTAATTTGTTCAGCACTGAAACAGAAAGAACCACAATCATAGAAACATAGGACTGGAAGGGACCTCGAGAGGTCATGTAGTCCAGTCCCCTGCACTCATGGCAGGACTAAGTATTATCTAGACCATCCCTGACAGGTGTTTGTCTAACCTGCTCTTAAAAATCTCCGATGATGGAGATTCCACAACCTCCCTAGCCAATTTATTCCAGTGCTTAACCACCCTGACAGTTAGGAAGTTTTTCCTAGTGTCCAACCTAAACCTCCCTTGCTGCAATTTAAGCCCATTGCTTCTTGTCCTATCCCCAGAGGTTAACAAGAACAATTCTTATCCCTCCTTCTTGTAACAACCTTTTATGTACTTGGAAACTGTTATCATGTCCTCTCTGTCTTCTCTTTTCCAGACTAAACAAACCCATTTTTTTCAATCTTTCCTCATAGGTCATGTTTTCTAGACCTTTAATCATGTTTGTTGCTCTTCTCTGGACTTTCTCTACTTTGTCCACATCTTTCCTGAAATATGGCACCCAGAACAGGACACAATCAGGGCCAGCTCTGGCTTTTTTGCCGCCCCAGGCAAAAAAGCCTCCGGCCGCCCCACACACACCCCAGCGTGGCAGGGGAGGGCGGCCGGAGCCCCGGGGGGAGGGCGGCAAGCCCCGGCCGGGGCTCCGCTCTCCCCGGCGGCCAGAGCGCCGGGGGGAGGAC